GAGAGCTCTTGATGCACAAGAGGAAGACAAGCAGTCCAGTCTTCATGTTGATCCATGAGAGATGATTTCAGCTGGCGATGAGAACTTACAATGAGAGGATGAGGATGGTACTTGGAAGTGTGATAACATCAAATTCCAAACCAAGTCATAAGTTTGCTCCAAAGTTGCAACTCACACTGACTTCCTCTGTCTGATGCTCAATTGGTTGGTACTCCAGTATTAATACCCAACCAGCAATAAAGGCTCATGCTACATAGACACTTCCTCTTGTCAGGGAGAGGAAGTGCCTATGGCCATCTAGTAAATCTGTCGATGCAGGTGAGAATTTACCTGTATCCATTGGACATCGTCAAACTAGTTTGATGGGCAAAGGAGAAACTGTATGGCGAATTACCATGGAAAGTTGACACTTAAGACAAGTATGTGTCCAGTTTATTACATCATTGTTGATACTAGTCCAGATGAATCTTGAGGTCAGAAGATGCTGTGATGCACATCCACCAGGATGTGAAATGTCATAGAGTTGCTTGAAGATAGTATGTCGATATTTCTTAGGTAGATATGGATGAATGGTGTCTGTAGAAACATCAGCATACAGGTCTACATTCGTTCCAGGAACTTTAATTTTCTTTATTTGAAATGCAGAATTAGCTCTGAATCATTGATTTAGTCTGCGAAAATTGCTGCATACCCGATGAGGGAAGAATCAACAGACATTGAGGGCCAGGGTATCAGCTGGAGTATTTTCTTGGCCTCTGATGTACCGGATGTCTGTAGTGAACTGTGAAATATAGTCAGTATGACGAAGTGGTTGAGGAGTGTAGGTAGACTGGTTGGTGTTGAAGGCAGTAGAGAGTGGCTTGTGGTTGCTGAAGATGTGGAACTTCTTGCCCACTACTAAATACTTAAACCGTTTTATCGCTTTATAAACAGCTAAAAGTTCTCAATAAGTGTGCTATAATTCTGTTCAACATTATTTAATATATTTGAGAAAAAGGCTAAAGGTTTCCATCCATCCTGCACATATTGTTGCAGAACAGCTCCAGTATTGGAGGCATCAATAGTGATGGATGTTGAGGCATTTTGACTGGGAAAGCTGAGGGTAGTTATTGCACCGAGAGCTTGTTTAGCAGCATCATAGGCAATGTCAGCTTCTTTTGTATGATCTGATTATGGAATACAAAGGGTGGAGAAGTAGAGAACACTTTGGAATGAATCTGTTGCAGTAATTAATCATCCTTAAAAATTCCTTGATCTAGCACTGTGTAGTTGGCTTAAAAAACTGTTAAATGGCCTCACATTTGGCAGGAAGTGGAGAACTGTATGCCCGAGAAAATCAAAAGACAAAACTCAATACAAACACTCTTGTCAACTTTAGTATGGTTACCATAATCATTCAGACATTTGAAGACTTGCTTTAGATGATCCTGTTCAGCAGCATCCTTACTGGCAATGTGTGGATCAATGTAAGCAAAGACAAATGGTAGTCCTTGTAAAACTTCATCATTGAAACGCTGGAATGTTTGCGTATCATTCTTCAGCCTAAATGGCATCCAGACATATTTATACCAGCTAAATGGGGTGATACTGGCTTTTTTTAAAGATGTCTGAAGGGTGGACTGGTATTTGGTAGAATGCTTTAACCAGATCAATTCTGAAGATGGAAAGTAAATTCTTGGATGTTGGGAAGTGGGTAACAATCCACTAGTGTCTGAGCACTGACAGCTCTGTAATCACAGCAGAGTTGTAGTTCTCCATTCTTCTCTAGAAAACAATATGTAGTGCAGATGACCAGTTGCTGGGGCTTGCACAGGTAATACCATTCTAGAGGTAAGCGACAAGACTTAGCAGTCGTTAGGATGGGATGAGTAATGGAATGCTTTATAGGAAGGGTTTCAGAGTAAGGCTGAGTAAGTAAAGGACTTCAGCAGTGATGCAAATGGGTTGTTGGCATCGATTGTGGAGATCTGCAAGCTATTTCCATGTAGAAGTTGAGCATTAGTAGACTTTGTAGAAATAGTGTCAAGGAGTCTACAATTCTTAATATTCTTAATGTCAACTAGATGTTTGAAGTTTCCAAAAAAATTGGCACCAAGTATGTGCACTGAAGCTTGAGGTTGAGTGTAAGAGTTTTCCATTTATATACAGAGATTGTTTATCCACTGGCTGCATTCAAGTTCATGATAGGAGGGAGTGATTTGTGACTTGCCATTGTAGGCAAAATGCTAACATCAGCACCAGCTAGAAACTTGATGTTAGAGAGTGGGTCTCACACATGAAATAACATGGAAAAAGTGTGCCGAACATTGTGCACCTGTAATGCTTGCCTTTGCTGTTTGAAAATTTATTGAAGTTGCAGGGCTGAAGACTGCTTCATTTCACTGCTTCCTTGAAATTGCTATGATAGAAGTATATGTCATCTCTTCCTCTGGACAGACTTCTTGACTTATTGTTGGTAGAGATGCAGCGAGACAGAAGTTGTACTTGATTCTGGAGAGCA